ATAAATTACAATTAAAATAATAAATTATGTATAATTGTATATTATGATTATATGATATAAATTATAAAGCTCATATGTATTTTTAAGACCACATGGAGGTAAGTTTTAAGGATTTCCAAGTTTGATGATTCACATATTAAAAAACAAGTACCCTGCAGAATTATAAAACAATGAGTTGACTGATAATACCTTTTGAAAACACACCATACTTTCAATTACATGTTGTCAAAATTAAGAGATACTTTCAAAGGTAATACACTCTTTATATTTGCAGCTTATTTTTATTCACAAAAGGCATTACCTAACTTAATCATCTATCTTCTCTATCTAATATTCATGGCACTGTAAATATTTTAAAAATCATCTAGCCCTAACCGGTTTGGTTTAGTGCAGTGGTCGGCAAACTGCGGCCCCTTGAGAGTGGCTCTTCCACAAAATACCACTTGCGGGGGCGCATGTACAGTGCAATTGAAACTTCGTGGCCACACTCAAGGGGCCAAAGAGCTGCATGTGGCTCCGAGCCGCAGTTTGCCGACCACTGGTTTAGTGGATAGAATGTCGGCCTGCGGACTAAAGGGTCTGGGTTTTATCCCAGTGAGGGGCAAGGACCTAAATTGCAGGATCCTCCCTGACTCAGGCCCTGATTGGGGGAACCTGTTTCTCTCACATCTATATTTCTATCTTTCCCCCTTTATTCTACTCTCTCTAAAAATCAATGGAAAAACATCCTCGGGTGAGGATTAAAAAATCCTCAAACTCAGTACAAAATAATTTATAGTTTCCGAAGGTAAAACATCTCTCATGGTTAAAAACATGGTGTGATGTTTAAAGACAATTGCAAAGAAGAGGTTCCTTAAATTTTGTCAATATCATCAAAGTAGCTATATTTTTTTTTAATTTTTATTTTTTAATTTTTTTATTGCTTAAAGTATTACAAAGGGTATTACATATGTGTCATTTTTTCCCCCGCCCTTGACAATCCCCTGGCCTCCCCTACCTCCCTTCTGCCCCCCAACCCTCTCTGGCCTTCCCACTGCAGTTTGACAATCAGTTTGAGGCAGCTCTGCCTCTGTATCTATTATTGTTCAAAAGTTTGTAATGGTCTTTATTATCCATGTATGAGTGAGATCATGTGGTATTTTTCCTTCATTGACTGGCTTATTTCACTTAGCATAATGCTCTCCAGTTCCATCCATGCTGTTGCAAATGGTAAGAGTTCCTTCTTTTTTACAGCAGCATAGTATTCCATCGTATAGATGTACCACAGTTTTCGAATCCATTCATCTACTGATGGGCACTTAGGCTGTTTCCAGATCTTAGCTATGGTGAATTGTGCTCAAAGTAGCTATATTAATAAAATAGTTAATTTAGGTGTTTCAACTTTAAACTTATAGCTCACTCAGTTGTTCATATTTTTATGGCATTAAATCTTTCAGAATCTCATGAAGTATTTTCTAGTATTATCCCCAATCCATATACGAAGAAACTAATTTAGAGTGATCACATGACTTTCCTGAAGTTTCAGTGCAGTAAAACAATTCTTTTAAGAGCACTTACAGTGTTCTTTCCACAATGCCTCTAAATTCATTTTATAACAACTGGTGAAATTATGTTAAGTCAAAAGTTATTTGATTTCAGTCATACTTGGATTGTTGTGTGGCTTTGGGCAATAACAATAATAATAACAAGACCAACAACATTTATAAAGCACTTCCAGGCACTGTTTTAGTTGCTTTACATATGGTAACTCATTTAGTCTTCACAATAAGTACATGAAATAACATATATTTTTATCATCTTCATTTTATAGATGATAAACTGAAGCACAAAGAGGTTAAAAACTTGCCCAAGGTGATAAAGCCAATAAGTCATGGCTTTTGTTATAGTCAATTTCCAGGAGTTATAGTTTATCCCAATATTGTACTTTACTACATAAGCCTTAATTCTCAACTGGAAAATAGGGATAAAGACTCCATAAACTATTGGAAAAGGGGGACATAAATATCTTCATTTAATCTGCTAAATTCCCAGGACCTGGAACATCATAAATGTTTAGTAAATGTTAGCTTCCTTCCTCTCAAACATTGAATTTGACACTAACAGGAACAGAATAAATTATTTGGTAATCTTGAAAGATCTCATATACTCTAAAGTAGATCTTTTACTTGAGTATCATAATGTTGTTCTTACTTTCTGAAAATCTGGAAATGTTCCTCAAACACTGATGTTGTTGGTCCATGAACCATAGTTAGAATAGTGAGGCATTACACAACAAATATAAATAGTTTTCTTCCACAATGACATTAACATTACTTCATTTTAAAACGAATAACAAGTGTGACCCTTTAGGGATGAAAGAAGTAGAAGACAGGGAAGCTTCAAGAAGGTACAGGGTTAGCATATTCTTAGACTCTGGAGCAGAGAGTTTAGGCTTTAGATAATAGGAATTTGACTAGAGAGAAATCTTGAGATTTAGAGAAAGGTCAAAATGGAGAATGTCAAACTGAATGTGCTTCACCTTTTTGTCTGTTAAAAATTTCCATTTTTGGTTGGAGAGTAGGATATCAATGAGATATTCTGTATTGCCAAAGAAGAGCACAGTGCTTCAGAAATACCCATATAGATGTGAGAAGATGGCAGCTGGCAGGACGGAGGTAAGGGATAGGAAGTGAGTGAGTGAGGGGATGAATGGAGTGTGGGTGGATGTGTGGGGTGTGTGTGAGTGAGTGAGGGACAGTTAAATCCGGCAGGAGCAGCGGAGGCTGACAGACCAGGCTCTCTGGGACACAGAGAGACTACCACCGCTGTGGCTCTCCCTGAACTGCGGGACCCGGGCACGGAGCCCACGCCACCTTAAAGGGGAGAGCGGCCTCTTCTAGGAACTCATCAGCACCACCACCCAGACAGGCCTTGGACACAGCCCAACCCGGCAGCCACTCCTGCAAAAATCCTGCAGCCATACCAGCAGACTCTGGGACTCTGCGCCAAAGGAGCAACACGCCCGAAGGCAGTAAGTGCACCCTGCTCAGCAGCAGACCTCCGACATTGCTTGCGCTCTGGGTGCACCCTCCCCAGCAGCAGACCTCTGACATTGCCTGCACACGCACATTTGCGCATCTCCAGCATGCAGGTTCACCAAGAAACAAAGAGAGAGGACCCAAATAAACAAAGTCACA